TTTAAATCTTTCCATCCTTGTCATATTCATTCATTTTATCTTTCATGAAATCAAATATCACGGACTTTTTTTTCGTAATTTTCCTACATTTACTTTATACTTTCGTCAATATTAAATTTTGTAGCTTTAAAATAAATTCAAAATTATAATTTATCATAAAACATATAATGGATATACTTTTTATTATTGCTTATCAGATAAATGATCAATTATGATCGTTTGTGATAAATTAGATGGAAATTGTTTGAAAATCGGTTATCAGTGAATGTAATCACCGCAACTTCAATATCATTGATATTTTTCTTTATTGACTTGTATTCGCATTAGAATAATTTAAATATTGATAAGAGATAATTGGAGCGAAAAATTTTTCCTCTTTTGTTTTATGTTTATTATACTATATTGGAAAATGAAAATAAGAATTAATATACCTAATTTCACACCAAATTTCACTATACCGTATACGAGAATAATGCTAATAGTATGAAACCTAAAAATTCCATCTTATCATAAATTATACACCGTAAGTTAATTAGTAAAATGCATTGAAGAATGGTAGGAATTTATGAAATAGGAAATAAAATTGTTGAAATATAGTAATTACATATATCGTATAATTGTAGTATTGATCAAAAAAAGTGACAAGCAAGATGGGTAAGTAATATGTATGCATTGATCTTTTTGAAACAAAACTTTATCAAGTAATTGTTAGAGTAAATGATTAGACAGAAAGGAAATAGTACTGTATTTTTGAATCTCTCAAATTGTTTTACCTCAAACTCTCTTATAATAAAATAAAAAAAAAAAAAAAAACGAGAAACAATACTGATATCATTAACAAACATTATATATTTATCACTTTATCACTTTATATTATTCAAATTTGCTCATTAAAATATATCATTTTTATAAATTTAATTTCTAAGATTTTTTTTTTGCTTTAAATTGCGACATAAAATTTCTCTCTAACATTGAAGCTAAAAAAAAATGTTATCAGTACAGATAGATTAATGTAAATTTAGGTATAAGATAATTTAGCTTCTGCTATTTGCATAAATTAATGATCAATGCAAATAATATCGATTTGAATATCAGTACTTTGATAAAAGAATTTTAATTTTCATCAAGTTGGGATTGATGAAATTATTAAGGGCAAAAAAGATGCAGTACAATACTTTTAATAAAGGGAAATTAATGAAATTGAAACTATTGAATTCTAATTAGAACTTTTCTTATTCCTTATCACTGATTCTCTCAATTACCTTTTTTTTATTACATGAATTGTTATCTTAAATAAACTTTTAATTATCCCATCTTTTTGATCTTATCATTCTTGATAACATCCTAAAATATTTATTACGATTTTTATCATTGTATTTTTCAAAATGTGATTTTCTACTACGCTGCTGATGTTTTAATAGAATTGCTATGAAAAATATAAGAATTTAGGAATTAAAAAATAATTAATCATATTTTAAGATTTGGAATTTCTGTAATCCATGAAATTATTTAAATCATTAATGATAGACATTGAAAATTAATGATTATATTTTGATGAGATAGTAATAGGTTAGAATAATTGAAGTTTCAAGCATCATTAATGTTCAATTTTGGGTGCATTCCATTGACAAAATTGTGCTATTTTAATTTAATAACTGAAAAACGTTTATAATATTTTGAATATTTAAGTAATTTTTGGATTTTATATTAAGTAATACATACTTCAAATGCTATACAATGTTATTTGGTAGAAAAAAATTTGTCGTAATTTTTTTTTTTTGTTTTAAAATTCTATCAGAAAATATTTTGTTGTTCTAAATGAAATATAATAATAAATTATTGTAATATTCAGCTAATATTATTAATATTTAACTTCAAAATGTGATAAATGTATTTATGTGATATCATTTATTTGGTAATGTCAAATTAAACGTATATGTAGAAAGTGGCTAATAACTAAGAATCTGTATGGAATCTAATTTTAATATAAATGAAAGATGATGAATATTGAATAATTTATTAATTACAACAATTTATTAATTACAACAATAAAACGAATTGATTAATTACAACAATAAACGAATTACAACAATAATATTAATTACAACAATAAAATTAAACAACACATTGACTTTTATTTACCATTAGAAGTTCAAAATCTTTCTAATAACCTGTTATAGGATAATATTTCCCGAGATTTACCATATTTTCATTTGGTTGATTTATTTTTACAAGTTCAAATAATTCCAATCATCATTATTGTAAATGTAATATTATTTACTATAACTGCTCGTTGTATATGTTATTATTGTAATAAATAAATTAATGTAACTGCTGATTTGATAATTAGCAGTTATATCAATTTATTGATTTGATAATCTGGTTTGATAATTAGCAGTTACATCAATTTATTGATTTGATAATCTGATTTGATAATCAGCAGTTATATTAATTTATTGATTTGATAATCTGATTTGATAATTAGCAGTTATATTAATTTATTGATTTGATAATCAGCAGTTGCATTAATTTATTAATGTTTCGTGTATTTTCTCCACGCAGCTTACTTTAAGCGATAAGATGATTTTAACAATACAGTATGATTGTGATATGATAAATTCTGTTGAAATTTCATCATTTATGCGATCGGGTGATCAAAGTATCGAATAATATTATCTATTGTAATTAATTCGAAAAAGATATCGGATAAATTATTTTATACTCCACAATTCAGTCTTGATGATAGAAAAAGTTTTCGCATTAAATCATTTCATTTCAGAAATTTGCCAATGTTTTCAAATTATCAAATTTATCAGCAAATCAAATTTTCCGCTTTACTTATACTTATTATTGCTAATAATGATAATGTTATGGGAGGTTCGTTGAATAGAATAACTTTTTTTAATCTTTGCAATTAAAAAAAAAGGTACAAATAGAGCGTTTCCGAATTTTCGAATAATTTAAAATTTCAGAAACTAAAATTCTGACATCAAATAAAATTTGTTTGTTGAATTTTAAAATTATAATGTGATATTAACAAATTTGCACTTTAGCTGTCAAACGTCAAATAACGATTGGACAATATTTTTTCCCAAACACAGCATCTTTTCTGGATTATCCCTGGAATACAAATGCGCATTTGATAGCTGAACCAGTTTATGATGAAATTATTCTTTTACCACAACCGAAACAACATCAAAAGCAACAACAACAACAACAACAACAACAACAACAACAACAACAACAACAGCAACAACAACAGACAACAACAACAACAACAACAACAACAACAACAAC